AACCTGGTCACACACTATGCGACTATGGCTAATCTCAGACATCAAATCTGGAACGCAACAGATGGGACATGCACACAAGGAAAGACCACCCCAAAACCAAAACCATTTTACCTCAGAGAAATTGCATACAGGGGGGCGCCCATCAAAGCGCGAACGCGGAAGCGAATACACCTCAGAACTCGCCCTTCCTGTTAGCTTTTCGACACCTGAACACACACACTACCTCATCACCTCATGGTACAGGAAAGACGAGTGAGTGCGTATAGCGCGCGAGTAAATTGCCAGAGCTGAGACCATCTAAAGGTGTGCGCGCGCGGAAAGGGGATAACACAAAACCATATACACAGGTGCGCCGAGTGGGTCTAAAACAACTCTATGTCGTGCCACACCAGTGCCACTCAAGAGGAAGAAATCACACAGAGTTTTCTGGTGCCCAGGGAACGGACACACAAACGCTGGCAGAGGAAAATAGCAGAAATCGTACAAACCAAATCCAGTCATCCTGGAGTGGAACCACAGTCGATTGGCCACCACTCCAAACCAACAGATACAAGATACTAATGCCGAAAAAAAATCCCCCCCACAGGGGGGTTTTACCAACAATACCACCCAGTCCGATAACATTCTTTTCTTTGCAAATAAAGAAGGGTCAAAAAAGCCAGCAACAAACAACAAAATACCTTTCATCCGTGGACTGCTTGCAGAGGCAAAGGCCAATGTTTCGCGGCTTTCACTGAGACCCACATAAAAGATCAACTTGACAACGAAATATGAATCCCAGTTACAACTATACAGATGTGACAGAGTGGAATAGGCAAAAGAGGGGGTTGGCCTGTACATTGTGCTAGAGTCACTTTGTTTGCACTGTAGGGGACCTGCTAATGCCCAAATGATGTTGTGGAAGTTTTAGCAGTAAAGGTCGAGAACCAAAAACCTAGTCATTGTGGTAGTCAACAAGCCTCCCGGATGCAACTCCCAGCAATTCTCAGGAACAGCTGTTAAAAAATTGACCACTGTCTGGAAAATCTTCCAGCTCCTGCACCCAACATCTTGCTCCTGGGGGATTTCAACTTAAGGCAACCTAAAATGTAGGATATAGCAAAAAATATTGTTGCAGTAATGACACCAGGAGGCAGAGCGCTGATGAAAACTCTCACTCAGCACGAGCTTTTAAATTTAAAATCTCTGCACAAAAATTCACTTAAACCAGCAAATAATAGAGCCTACTAGACTGGAGAATACACTAGACCTCATCTTCCTATCACTGATATCTGAAAAGAAATGTCACACATATCAAAACAATATACTCAGGATCACAACATAGATTGGGTCAGGGGGGGGGGGGGGGGGGCGGCGGGGGGAAGGGTATGCGTGGAAGCCCCCAGAACCGACATAAGAGACTAGTCACGGGGAGCTTCACCAAATTCAAATTCATAACAAAAACATAAAGTTGGGACCCCAAGTAAACCAAGTCCTTAACCGATATAAGCTTGGGAAGATACACTAAGCAACACATACCCCAACTTATGCCTAGACAGATTAACTCGGTGGCACTCCGATGTATGCACAAGGCTTCATTCCGTCTAATAAAAAGGAGGATATATGTAAAATAGAAAAGAGACAGGCGCTCCCTTTACAGGCACGAAAAGAATAACAGAGCGGCTAAAAGAGGTCAATATATCTGAAAATGCGTAGGATACACTGGTCAAGAAATATCAAGCCAACATCGAACTTACGCTAAAAGAAACCTTTAGGAAGTCAGGAATCCGCGGGAAGAACTAAAAGCCATAAATGAAATCGAAAAAAACCCCAAGTATTTCTTCTCCTTGCCAAATTCAAAATCGAGAAACAACGTCCAGTATTGGACACCTACTTAAACAAGATGGGTCCTACACAGATGACAGCAAGAAATGAGTGAGCTACTCAGTCCCGAAAATGACTCAGTTTTTTAGCAAGCCGCTAACCAGACTGAGAGTCGAAGATCAAAAATGAATTATTTTATGAAGAGCCACAAAATTTTGATTAACACAAGCCTATCCGGATGTTATCCTGACGCCAAATGACTTCGAACAGGCGAATAAATGACATGCCCATGCACTCTGCCCCAGGGCAGACTCATGGAACTCTGTGTCAATCAAGAAACTGCAAGAAAGCCCCTATCACGAGCCTTTTCATCCTATGGAAGTGGAAGCATGGACACGGGGGTCGTCCCTCAGTTACTAAAAACAACAGACATAGCACCACTCCACAAAGGGGCAGTAAAAGCAACAGCAAAGAACTACAGGACCATAACACATAACATCCCATATCCATAAAAATCATTTGAAAGGGTCCTAAGAAGCAAGATCACCACCATCTAGAAACCCATCACCTTACACACCCAGGGCAACATGGGTTTAGAACAGGTCCTCCTGTCTGTCTCAAACTATTGGATCACTACGACAAGTCCTAAATGCACTAGAAGACAAAAAGAAATGCATATGTAATATATACAGACTTTGCAAGCTTCGACAAGTGTGACCATGGCGCAATAGCGCACAAATGCGTCTAAAGAATAACAGGAAAAGTCGGTCGATGGATCTATAATTTCCTTTCCTCACTAACAGAACACAGAGAGTAGTCGTCAACAGAGTAAAGTCCAGGCAGCTACGGTGGAAAAGCTCTGTTCCACAAGGCACAGTACTAGCTCCCCATCTTTTTCCTCTCCTCAATCCGACAAGACAAGGATGTCACCACAGCACCGTGTCTTCCTTTGCAATGACTTCCCGAAACTGCATGAACAGTGTACTTCCATTGCAGAGACTGAGCCATGGTGCTCCAGGGGGACATCAAAACCAACATCTTTCAGTTGGCTTGCGGAAAACAATATGAGTTCAATGAGAGAATTTTAATTACTCAGATATGGTAACATGAGGAAATAAAATCTTCATCAGAGTACAAAACAAATTCAGGCCACAAATAGACGAAACAGGCCCGACTGTCAAAGACCTGGGAGTGAATTACAGTCGAGGATCTCACCTTCCAAGGACCATAACATTGTCTCAATCCGCATCTGCTGAGAAAAATGGACAGGATGGATTAATGAGAACCGTCAAAACTAGGGAGGCACAAGCCCATTGGATGAAACACTCTTCAGGTCACTAGTTCCTATCTAGGCTGGAAAAATAGCTGCACTCTAAAGCACTTTCAAGGCAGGTGAAATTGCCCGACCCTAGAAAATGTACAGAGAACTTATCAACGGTGCGCGCATAACGGAGATGAAAAACACCTCAATTACTGGGAGGCGCTTGAGGTTATCTAAACCTGTATTCCCTGAACGCAGGAGGGAGAGAACATGATTATATACACCTGAAAATCCTAGAGGGACTAGTACCGAACTTGCACACGAAAATCACTCACTACGAAAGCAAAAGACTTGGCAGACGATGCACCATCCCCCAATGAAAAGCAGGGTGTCACTAGCACGTTAAGAGACCATACAATAAGTGTCAGGGGCCCGAGACTGTTCAACTGCCTTCCAGCACACATAAGGGGGATTACCAACAGACCCCTGGCAGTCTTCAAGCTGGCACTGGACAAGCACCTAAAGTCAGTTCCTGATCAGCCGGGCTGTGGCTCGTACGTTGGTTTGCGTGCAGCCAGCAGCAACAGCCTGGTTGATCAGGGGCTGATCCACCAGGAGGCCTGGTCACAGACCGGGCCGCGGTACTAGTCCCTCTAGGATTTTCCAGGTGTATATAATCGTGTATCTCTCCCGCCTGCGTTCCAGGGAATACAGGTTCAGGAACCTCAAGCGCTCCCAGTAATTGAGGTGATTTATCTCCGTTATGCGCGCCGTGAAAGTTCTCAAATTCAAATTCAAATTCAAATTCAAATTCAAATTCAAAGTTTATTCTCTATAAGGATTACAATGCTGGGTTTACAGAAATTTGGTTATTGTTTGGTTTACATGTAGTAAAATTGTGATTACAGAGTGTACCACTAGAACGCTTAGCATGGCTAGGCATTTCGGGCAGACTTAGTTTTATTCTTAATTGTAAAATATTACAAATTATGAGGTAAGTTGGTATTATGGCTAAGTGACTAAATACTAGTTTATGAGTTTAGCAATGTGAATGCTTTTGTATTGGCACAGTATATAGTTTCAGTATTGGAGTATCACAGGATTCATTATTTTAAGACTGAGATTAATATTTATGTTTATGGTCAAATGAGTGAGTGAGTGTAAGTGTGAACCACCAGGTGGTATTCGTGTAGTTAGTTGACGGGGTGTATCAGGGAGATAAGATGTTTTCTAATGGTAGTTTTGAAGGTGATGAATGTGTCTGCAGTTCTAGAGTTCTCAGGTAGGGTATTCCAGATTTTAGGGCCTTTGACATACATTGAATTTTTGTAAAGGTTTAGTCGGACACGGGGAATGTCGTAGAGATGTTTGTGTCTGGTGTTATGCCTGTGGGTTCTGTCACAACTATCAAGAAAGCGTTTTAGGTCAAGGTTGATATTAGAGTTTAAGGCCCTGTAGATATAGATTGCACAGTAGTAAGTGTGGATGTACTGAACTGGGAGTAAGTTTAGATCTTTGAAGAGTGGGGGGGGTGTGCTGCCAGGGATGGGATTTAGTGATTATTCTTACTGCAGCTTTTTGTTGGGTTATTATTGGCTTTAGGTGTGTTGCTGCAGTTGATCCCCAAGCACAAATAGCATAGGTGAGGTATGGATAAATAAGTGAGTGGTATAGTGTGAGAAGGACATTTTGCGGCACGTAGTATCGTATCTTGGAGAGGATCCCAACATTTTCTAGGTCGGCAATTTCACCTGCCTTGAAAGGTGCTGTTAGAGTGCAGCAATATTCCAGCCTAGATAGAACAAGTGACCTGAAGAGTGTCATCATGGGCTTGGCCTCCCTAGTTTTGAAGGTTCTCATTATCCATCCTGTCATTTTTCTAGCACATACTGTACACATTGTAAAGAAATAAAAATCTTTATCTTTATTTCTGGCAAATTAGGTCAGTTTTGTCCCAGGATGCGACCCACACCGACTAACACTCAGGTTCCTATTATACTGATGGGGAACTCTTGTAAATAATTATGTTTATTACTGTTGTAACTCCTTTTATTGTAACTGATTTTCACACAGTTAGGTTACTTTGCTAATTTAAAATTTAACGTTATAAATCTTACTGTAAGTCTGTAATTACTGCTAAGCTTAAATTAGAAGATATTTCAAGGACCTAATGGAAATAAGTCACTTAATCTGTCTTTTTTGGGTTATCTTGGGTAATTTACACATAATTGTACTTATGTGTACCTGTACCTAAATAAATTACTTATCTCTCTTCCTTCGACAGTTCTGGACGCACAAGCCGCGACAATTAATTAATATTAGTTACCCAAGTATCCAAACCAGGATGATCCTTTTTCTATGATGGTTGTTCCAACCTGTAATCACAAGCTACACTAAAGTAAATGTTAGAACACTCAATGCTGATGATATTGTACTGTACTGTCAAAGTATTGTACTGAACTGTATCAGTACAATACAACTGCATTTGACGTCCTTCCTTGTATATTATATACCCATGGTGTGGACGGTAGTCAAAAGAATGAGGGTATAAATAATGTTGGAGCAAGTATATCAGTATTACAGAACGACATTTTATTTATAAATATCGTTCAGTAATACTGAACTACGTCCCTATCAACGTGAACTAAATTCCCCCTGGCCCTCTGTATAATAATGTTCTCACGAGGTTGTCTTTACAGGAAGGTGATGGCGTTGCTGGTAGGTGAGGTGAGGTGTATACCAGGTGGACACACCACCACCTATGAGGTGTTCCAGCGTCTGGCCACCTCCCAACACACTCAAGACAAGGTGGCTCTGGTATTTGACACTAACAAGATCACTTACAAACAGCTGCTGTGCCTGGTTGACTCCCTGCACCTGTGGCTATGGAAGAAGGTGCAAGAGATGAGCAAGCAGTGTCGCCTTCAACAGGAGGCTCCTGAGGACCAGTCACAACAGTCGTCCACACTTACCACCGTGGCTCTGTGTTTGCACAGGAGCCCCAACCTAGTGGCACTGATCCTCGCCATTTGGAAGTTAGGGTGGGCTTACGTACCACTGGACCCCTCAGTGCCGGCCCTTCGTACATTGTACGTGCTGAGGGATGCTGAGCCCATCTGTGTGCTCACTGACTCCCAAACAACAATCAAGATCAAACACCTCGAGTGTGACACCGCCATTGTTCCTCTCGTCACCGATGCCTCGGAGTCACCACTGCCTCCTACATACCCCTACTGCCTCACTGATCGCATCCTCGATATTGGCGACTGGGACGCTAATTCCTCGTCTGCAGAAAATATCGAACATGAAAAATATGACTCGTGTATGAGACCTGGAGATGGGTGGGTGGCGTGCGTTCTCTACACCTCGGGGAGTACAGGTAACCCTAAGGGAGTCCTCCTGACGATGAAGAATCTGATGAATCGTCTATACTGGCAGTGGGAGGAACTGCCTTATAAAGATAACGAAATCTGTCTCATGTCAAAGTCTTTAACGTTCGTGGATTCCGTGACTGAGTTGTTTGGCCCGCTGCTGGCTGGTGTTCCAGTGGTGGTGGTGAAGGAAGAGGCCATAAACCCTGAACTAATTATCAAGTATGTGAGTGTGCACGGGGTGACGCGGCTGGTGGTGGTGCCCTCACTGCTCAAGCTGCTGCTCCTCTACCTCAACACCACCAAGGAATCCATCAAGGTCCTTCATAAGCACCTCCGCCTATGGATCACCAGCGGGGAAACACTCCCTGCATGGCTAATCAACGACTTCTTCGCCATGTTCCCTGGAAGTAAATTCATTAACCTATATGGGTCGACAGAGGTGACAGGCGACGTCTCTTGGTTCCCTATAGAGGAGCTTAACTGGCGCGCGGGGGTAAAGGTACCTATCGGGTATCCGGTGTTCAACACGGTGCTCCTGGTGGTGCAGCAGCAAGGTGGAGTCCTCTACCTCTCCGGGGAAGACAAGCCTGGCGAAATTGTTGTTCTGGGCGAGAACGTGTGTGCCGGCTACCTCCGTGGCAAGCTCCATAAGGACCGTAACGATTCCTTTGTCCCCGTCTCTTCTATAAAGATACAGGATGATAAGTTGAGGACGCAGCTTGAAGACTATATCAATAAAGTATACGAGAGTAAGCTCACGGTTTACGACACTCATGAAGCTGCTGCACTAACCCACAATAACAACACATATGAAGTGCACCGAGATAATCCCGACACAATACGAGGTAGCAGCACCTCGTACTCAGTATCACCAGCGGCGGTTTCATTCGTCCGAGACTTCAAACTCCCGGAGAGCTCACTCTCCCTTTTCCAGAGTTCCGCACACATAAAAGCTAAGTCGTCAGGCTCGGATTCCAAGATATCTCCACCTCTGGTCACCCGTCCCGTTAAGACGCCCTCTCCGTTAACACAAAAGAAATCCCCTGCACCTCCTGTGGTGCCACCGAGAACAGCTACACCTCCAACAGTGCCTCCGAGAACTCCTCCCAGACTGCCTCATAAAGCAGCTGACGTGTCAGCATATCCATCCAAATCTCCACCAAGCCCAAAATCCTCAGTGAGCATTAAGACTGAAACAAACACGAATTCACCAGCCAGTTTAAAGACTCAAGCGAGTCCAAAGACCTCCTGGAGCTCCTCCTGTAAGACTCCACCAAGTTCCTCCAGCACCCCACGAGTGAAGGGAAGAGTTGAGGACCCCCGTTGCTCCATGAGACAGGAAGCAGAGCGACGAGTCGAGCAGACAGCATACCGGACGGGAGACCTGGGGAGGGTTGTTGGTGGCCAGCTGGTGTTCGAGGGACGTAGAGATTCTCAGGTGAAGGTGCGTGGTGTCCGGGTTCACCTGGCAGAGGTAGAGGACGCTGTGCACCGCAGTGGGTGAGAAACTAATTTTCGTATCGGTCGTGATCTGTGCTCTTACCTGTATCGTCCTGTGCACGTTTTTATTGTGCCTTCTAAGTAATTATCTACCATCTTCGTCTTGTGGCTGCCTCAACCCCAAGTATACATGTCATCCTCCTGTGCTCCAACCTTCTGATATCTCTGTGTACGTCTATATGTATCTGAAGGTCTCTATTTTTGTTAGCAAATTATTTTTTTCTCTTATTTATTTCCATTATTCATTAACTTCTACTTCCGGACTCCCATCCATTTTCCACATTAACCATTCCCGCAAGAAAATTAAAATATATACTGAATGTAAGTAAGCGCTTCTAAGATTTACACGACACAAATAAAAGATCGGTAATCTTGCTAGGTTATTATTATTATTATTATTATTATTATTATTATTATTATTATTATTATTATTATTATTATTTTCACGGGGAAACACTAAAGCAGTAGGGGTTATGCAATGGAATATAGTGAGTACATATTTCCTTTTCAACTTCAGAAGTCAAGTGAAATTATGAGATTGGTTATTGATTGTATCAGGCGGTGTACTGTATTTCGTGTAACACTTGGACAGGTATGTGGAGACTCAGTGTGTGTTGGCTGCGACGGAAGACGAGGAGCAGGTGCTGGCGGCCTTCGTAGTGCTTAAGGAGGAGTTCGAGGAGCAGGAGAAGTGGGTGACGGAGGATCTGAGGAGGTGTCTGAGGAGCTACCTGCCGAGGGTAGCAGTGCCTCGCCTCCTGGTGCTCGATGCTGTGCCACACCTCCCCAGCGGCAAGGTTGACCGTCGAGGACTGTTAGACCTCTACCGTAGACGAATGGTCCACCGCACCTCCAGCGATGATGTACTTATACTCAGGGTAAGTGAAGCCCTCGCTACTCACTCACCCACTCAAACATCTCTCTTTTGACTAGATAATGGTGCGTAGTTGAGTAGAGTCAGTGAGTACAAGGGAAGAGAAGCTGCGGAGAGAGAAATGTATGCTGGGTAGTTCGATAGTGGAGTGGTAATGAGTGTGAGTAGGAGAAATTACGAGTGAGTACAAACTCGAGTCCTGGAGGTATGTGGAGTGCATGGGTGGAAGAGTTATTTGAAACTTAATGTAGGCGGACCTCTGGCAGGACAGCTGCTGTGTGGATGATGGTCAGGAACGACGAGTGACTCAAACATAATAAAACAATAAAACTATCACCAGAAACACAACAAGAACTTATTCTGTCATGAAGAGAAGACAGAAGAATTAAATAGTTGCAGATTAATACCTGTCACAGTGTGTGTCCCACTTGTCACAGTGTGTGTCCCACTTGTCACAGTGTGTGTCCCACTTGTCACAATGTGTGTCCCACTTGTCACAGTGTGTGTCCCACTTGTCACAGTGTGTCCCACTTGTCACAATGTGTGTCCCACTTGTCACAGTGAGTGTCCCACTTGTCACAGTGTGTGTCCCACTTGTCACAGTGTGTGTCCCACTTGCCACAGTGTGTGTCCCACTTGCCACAGTGTGTGTCCCACTTGCCACAGTGTGTGTCCCACTTGTCACAGTGTGTGTCCCACTTGTCACAATGTGTGTCCCACTTGTCACAGTGTGTGTCCCACTTGTCACAGTGTGTGTCCCACTTGTCACAGTGTGTGTCCCACTTGTCACAGTGTGTGTCCCACTTGTCACAGTGTGTGTCCCACTTGTCACAGTGTGTCCCACTTGTCACAGTGTTGCCCCCACTTGCACAGGGTGTCCCACTTTCACAGTTGTGTCCCACTTGTCACAGTGCTGTCCCACTTGTCACACTGGTGTCCCACTTGTCACAGTGTATGTCCCATTTGTCACATGGGTTTTCCCCCTTTGTCACAGGGGGTTGTCCCATTTGCCAGTGTGTCTACCACCTACCACAGTATGTCTACCACTTGCCACAGTGTGTCTACCACCTACCACAGTATGTCTACCACCTACCACAGTATGTCTACCACTTGCCACAGTATGTCTTGATTTCATGTTACAGAAGGAAGAGCCAATAGAATCACGGTGCTGAGGATCATCTTGGGGAGCCCTGGGTGTGGACGTTTCCCACGAGTTGTCCAGAGAACTTCTTTTACCTGGAGGGAACATCACACGTCAGTGTGGTGGGCCGTCTCAGGGGGCTGGTCTTTAGACCCCCCGAGGCCTTTCTTAAAGCCGCCACTATCGGTGAATGGCAATGATACCTGAAGGGCGTGTTAACGCCTGTCAGCTTTTAAAGGGCAGTGTTGAAAACCCGTCACCGAAGGTCATTTAAAACCTTCAAACCTAGATCGTGTTTAAAATCTATTGACTTGAAGTCGTGTAAAATCTGTCGACTACCGAGGGGGCATTTAAGGGTCATGTCACCTTATACTACCATTTAAGAAAACTTTATTTTTATTATTATTATTATTATTATTTTTATTAAAGATTCGCCGGTATTCTCCCGGCCCGGGCCTTTTCCAAGTGGTGGCCCGGCCTTGTCTCCCTCTTTAGGGAGTGTCTGAGACCTAAGTCTCCCATGGGAGGAGGCACAAGTACCTCCTCATCTTTGGGACCAACTGTCCCCAGGCCTAGCCACAAGCTAGGCCTCTCTGGTCTGCCAACCCCGCCCCAAGGGGGCTAATGGGAATGACAGTCTTATGAGCTAAAGGTTCGGGCTCAGGCACCTACCCTACCCTAGAAGGGTTAGGCATGGTGTCGATCAAGAACACTTTTTTTTTTTTTATTCGCCGGTACTCTCCCGGCCCGGGTCTTTTCCAAGTAGTGGTGACCCGGCCTTGACTCCCTATCTGGGGAGTGTCTCGAGACTTAAGTCTCCCATGGGAGGAGGTACAAGTACCCCCTCATCTTTGGGACCAAGTGTCCCCAGGCCTAGCCACATTCCCCGCCCTCACGGGGCTCGTAGGGAGAAGCTAGGCCTCTGGTCTGCCATCTGCCCCGCCCCAAAGGGGCTCGTGGGGATGGCAGTCTTATGAGCTGCAGGTGGTAGCAAGCTCAGGCCTTCAAGAACACTTTAATACCTGGATACCAAGGATCAGAGTACACTCCTGATTTAAGCAATGTATGTTCTAGTATTGTAAATGTGAATTTATTAGTATTTATCATAGTCATCCACAGTTATTAATGGCCCGTTTATATGTGATAATTTTAATGATAGAAGATTACGACATGTACATATTTATATATTTTGTATGCATAAATAAATAATATATTATGTAGATTTAATATAGGATAACTCAATTAAATTTATTTCCACTAGAATGTTTTCTCATGTGGCGAGTACTGACGCAGACCAGTCTAGCACAGCTTGGTAATAAAATGATAACTGTATGCTCACTACTCTCACTACTACACTTCTCACTACCACTGCTCACTACTGCGTTACTCACTACAACACTACTCACTGTACCTCAACAGGCTAAAACAATGGCGGAAGTGATGAACTTATTCTGTTCAGCGTCTCCGGCCAGCAGCAGCAGCAGCATCTCACACACTCCTGCTGGGAGGGGTGAGGAGCAGAGCCCAGCAGATGAGGAGGATGAGGATGCGGCAACAGACCTCAGCATACCGGCACTGCACCCAGACATACCCATGTGTGCCCACACTCAAGGGTCGGCAACTAAAGTGTTGAGACTAGCACACCTGCACACTCTCCCTGTCTCTCAGGTGAGTTCCCTCTAGTACTTTTGAGACTAGCACACCTGCACACACTCCCTGTCTCTCAGGTGAGTTCCCTCTAGTACTTTTGAGACTAGCACACCTGCACACACTCCCTGTCTCTCAGATGAGTTCCCTCTAGTACTTTTGAGACTAGCACACCTGCACACTCTCCCTGTCTCTCAGGTGAGTTCCCTCTAGTACTTTTGAGACTAGCACACCTGCACACTCTCCCTGTCTCTCAGGTGAGTTCCCTCTAGTACTTTTGAGACTAGCACACCTGCACACTCTCCCTGTCTCTCAGGTGAGTTCCCTCTAGTACTTTTGAGACTAGCACACCTGCACACACTCCCTGTCTCTCAGGTGAGTTCCCTCTAGTACTTTTGAGACTAGCACACCTGCACACTCCCCCTGTCTCTCAGGTGAGTTCCCTCTAGTACTTTTGAGACTAGCACACCTGCACACACTCCCTGTCACTAAAGTAAGTTCCCTCTAGTACTACTGAGAAATACCAACTGAAGAAGCATGTTAATTCGGGCAACACATCTTAACAATACAGTTACCCAAGTGTTGTACATGTGTCTTATTCATCATCTTGTCGCTACTGTATACCATTAATATCATATTTATTGAGGAAATCTGAAAATCATCGACTATATTAGTTTGGTTTATACATTTGTTGAGAGAATACATATATATGGCAGGTGTACATTAATCATACGTTATTTATAAGATTTGGATAAGCCAAAACAAATGCCGTCTTGCAGTTAATATGTTCTTATTTTATGTTATACATAGTAAAAAAAAATATGAAAATAATAATAATAAGATCGCTTCAGGGTGTAGATAAGGACCTGGTGATTGAGATGGTGGCTGAGAGCTTCACCAGTAAGAACCCTCTGGACGTGACCATGAAGGTCCCTCGTGAGGCTCACCGGAGTCTACTCAACTCACTGTGGCCTCGTCTGGTGCATGACGAACTCAGCTTCGTGGTCAAGGACCCCCAGCGAGGTCTCCTGGGGGCTGTCATCAACACAGACTTCTTCAATGAACCGCAGGTGGCGTCTTACATATACTCTTACCGTAAACAAATAAACCAAAATTTGGAAGTGAAAATCGGCAGATGTTCAGCACAATCCTGAATCATTTGAAGCAGCGAATGACTTGGTAATGATCCAGGGTGTACCAAAAAAAAAAAAAACAGTCCAGATGTAACTTCCATCTTGTGGGTTAACTGTGAATTGTCAGTCACAGAACTGTGATGTTTGCACCAATATATTTACTTTTTTTCATTGTTTTTAGGAGAAAGAAACCACTAAATGAGTTTATTGCACTGACTGCTTCTCGTGGATCAAATATTATACGCTTTCTGTAACTTTCATCACCCCGAATCTGCAATAAATGTTCATCTTGATGGAGAGTAAAAGAAAGGTAAAGAGAGTGGTGAGAGAGTGCAGAAAGAGAGCAGATGAAAGAGTGGGAGAGGCACTGTCAAGAAATTTTGGAGTGAGTTAAACAAGTTAAGAAAGCCTAGGGAAAGTATGGATTTGTCAGTTAAAAATAGAGTAGGGGAGTTAGTAGATGAGGAGAGGGAGGTATTGGGTAGATGGCGAGAATGTTTTGAGGAACTTTTAAATGTCGACGAAGAAAGGGAGGCGGTAATTTCATGCACTGGCCAGGGAGGTATACCATCTTTTAGGAGTGAAGAAGAGCAGGATGTGAGTGTGGGTTAAGGTGTGTGAGGCTTTACGTAGAATGAAAGGGGGTAAAACAGCTGGAATTGACGGGATCATGACAGAAATGTTAAAAGCAGGGGGGGACATAGTGTTGGAGTGGTTGGTATTTTTGTTTAATAAATGTATGAAAGAGGGGAAGGTACCTAGGGATTGGCGGAGAGCATGTATAGTCCCTTTATATAAAGGGAAGGGGGACAAATGAGATTGTAAAAATTAAAGAGGAATAAGTTTACTGAGAATACCAGGAAAAGTGTACAGTAGGGTTATTATTGAAAGAATTAGAGGTAAGACAGAATGTAGAATTGCGGATGAGCAAGGAGGTTTCAGAGTGGGTAGGGGATGTGTAGATCAAGTGTTTATATTGAAGCATATATGTGAACAGTATTTAGATAAAGGTAGGGAAGTTTTTATTGCATTTATGGATTTAGAAAAGGCATATGATAGTGGATAGAGGAGCAATGTGGCAGATGTTGCAAGTATATGGAATAGGTGGTAAGTTACTAAATGCTGTAAAGAGTTTTTATGAGGATAGTGAGGCTCAGGTTAGGGTGTGTAGAAGAGAGGGAGAATACTTCCCGGTAAAAGTAGGTCTTAGACAGGGATGTGTAATGTCACCATGGTTGTTTAATATATTTATAGATTGGGTTATAAAAGAAGTAAATGCTAGGGTGTTCGGGAGAGGGGTGGGATTAAATTATGGGGAATTAAATACAGAATGGGAAGTGACACAGCTACTTTTTGCTGATGATACTGTGCTTATGGGAGATTCTAAAGAAAAATTGCAAAGGTTAGTGGATGAGTTTGGGAATGTGTGTAAAGGTAGAAAGTTGAAAGTGAACATAGAAAAGAGTAAGGTGATGAGGGTGTCAAATGATTTAGATAAAGAAAAATTGGATATCAAATTGGGAAGGAGGAGTATGGAAGAAGTGAATGTTTTCAGATATTTACGAGTTGACGTGTCAGCGGATGGATTTATGGAGGATGAGGTTAATCATAGAATTGATGAAGGAAAAAAGGTGAGTGGTGCGTTGAGGTATATGTGGAGTCAAAAAACGTTATCTATGGAGGCAAAGAAGGGAATGTATGAAAGCATAGTAGTACCAACACTCTTATATGGCTGTGAAGCTTGGGTGGTAAATGCAGCAGCGAGGAGACGGTTGGAGGCAGTGGAGATGTCCTGTCTAAGGGCAATGTGTGGTGTAAATATTATGCAGAAAATTCGGAGTGTGGAAATTAGGAGAATGTGTGGAGGGCAGAAGAGGGGTTGTTGAGGTGGTTTGATTATTTAGAGAGAATGGATCAAAGTAGAATGACATGGAGAGCGTATAAGTCTGTAGGGGAAGGAAGGCGGGGTAGGGGTCGTCCTCGAAAATGTTGGAGGGAGGGGGGGTATTATTATTATTATAATCAAGGGGGAAGCGCTAAACCCGGAGGATTATACAGCTCCTAGGGGTGAATGTGGAAGACATTCAGGCTTAATTCGGGGAACTGGAGCACAGATCCAATTCCCTAAATCAAGAGCCCCCTCACCAACATCAAGGAACCTTCCTTGAGGGGAGGGAGGGGGTAAAGGAGGTTTTGTGGGCGAGGGGCTTGGACTTCCAGCAAGCGTGCGTGAGCGTGTTCGATAAGAGTGAATGGAGACGAATGGTATTTGGGACCTGACGAGCTGTTGGAGTGTGAGCAGGGTAATATTTAGTGAAGGGATCAGGGAAACCGGTTATTTTTATATAACCGGACTTGAATCCTGGAAATGGGAAGTACAATGCCTGCACTTTAAAGGAGGGGTTCGGGATACTGGCAGTTTGGAGGGATATGTTGTGTATCTTTATATTACCTGGGGTTTACCTGGAGAGAGTTCCGGGGGTCAACGCCCCCGCGGCCCGGTCTGTGACCAGGCCTCCTGGTGGATCAGAGCCTGATCAACCAGGCTGTTGCTGCTGGCTGCACGCAAACCAACGTACGAGCCACAGCCCGGCTGGTCAGGAACCGACTTTAGGTGCTTGTATGCTTGTATATATACGTATATACTTCTAAACTGTTGTATTCTGAGCACCTCTGCAAAAACAGTGATAATGTGTGAGTGTGGTGAAAGTGTTGAATGATGATGAAAGTATTTTCTTTTTGGGGATTTTCTTTCTTTTTGGGTCACCCTGCCTCGGTGGGAGACGGCCGACTTGTTAAATATATATATATATATATATATATATATATATATATATATATATATATATATATATATATATATATATATATATATATATATATATATATAATATATATATATTAGTAATATTTCCAGAAACACGTTTTTAACTCTGGTTGAGCATTTAGCGCTCTTCTGCTATAAAGTAATAAATTCACTAGTTTAACTTCCCTCTATTTGAATATTAGTAAAACAAGAGTGAGAGTTGCTTCGCTGAGGAACTATATTTTAAGTCAGAATAGAACCATTTGGTTAAAAGTTTTGTTGTACTAACGAGCTTTTTTTTTTTTTTGTGTTTGATGGATGAAGATGGATGTACCACCCAGCATGGAGGAGATTGCTGCCCTTCACGAACCTCTGGAAGAGGAAGGTAGACACCAGCTGCTGCAGGAAGGCAGGGAACACGGTGGAAGCTGGGTACACAACCTCTTCCTCGCCACCACCACCTCACTCAGTCCTCAGGTATTCACAAGACCTCATTCAATTTCAAGTATTTCCCACCACTACCTCTCTCAGTCCTCTGCCTCAGTGTTCAAGTGCTCCCAGCACCTAGCATGGGGCTGTTCTCTCCTGATGATGTTGTATCTTCTACAGGATAATGTGCGTCTTGCACTGTACCTGGAGAAGGAACTGCTGAGGATGGCACAGACAAAACTCTACCACGGAGTGTTTACTGTCAACTCTAACCCCATCAACCAGGTGTGTGTGTGTGTGTGTGTGTGCATATGTGTGGTATTTATGTATGTCTCTGTCTCTGTGTTTTAATGTTTTTACCTCCGTTTGCCTGAGGTAGAGAAGCCTGACACTATAACATTTGCTTGCAGGAAGAACAGCGCCATCTTTTAATTAAATATAAATACTTTATCGCAGTCTTATTTCATTGTTGCCTCTGAAACTACCTGGTCACTCTACTTGTAGTGCCTCTCTCTACTCAGCAAATATAAAATTGTGTCTTCCGCAGATGCTGTGTGAGAACTACCTGGGTTACCAGAGACGTGGAGCTGTGAGAGTGTCCTCCTTCGTCTATAGAGGCCGTCAACCCTTTGTTAGTCTTCCCCACGACCTTCTCCTCGTCGCCATGACTAAAACTCTGTAAACTCCTCCGTCTTAATCCAGGGATTCAACTCCTTGTTCAGTACCTCCTTCATGAATGAAGCTATCCGAACTCCTCCATTTTATTCAGAGGTTTTGACTCCTTTTTCCACAGCATCTTCCTGCTACATATACACATCAGTTCCACTTTCATATAATTTTTAACTCATAAAACTGTATCTGTTGTCTCATGTAAGCTACGATGTGTTGTCAGGTCTTCCATGTGTCTCCTGAGTAACAGCCTCACACAGCATTGTATCAAGCTCAACTTAGCACAGCATTATTAAGTGCATCCTAGCACAGCATTATCAAGTGCATCCTAGCACAGTATTATTAAATGCATCCTAGAACAGCATTACCAAGTGCATCCTAGCACAGCATTACCAAGTGCATACTAGCACAGCATTATCAAGTGCATCCTAGCACAGCATTACCAAGTGCATCCTAGAACAGCATTACCAAGTGCATCCTAGCACAGCATTACCAAGTGCATCCTAGCACAGCATTATCAAGTGCATCCTAGCACAGCATTACCAAGTGCATCCTAGCACAGTATTATTAAGTGCATCCTAGAACAGCATTACCAAGTGCATCCTAGCACAGCATTACCAAGTGCATCCTAGCACAGCATTACCAAGTGCATCCTAGCACAGCATTACCAAGTGCATCCTAGCACAGTATTATTAAATGCATCCTAGAACAGCAATTACCAAGTGCATCCTAGCACAGCATTACCAAGGCATCCTAGCACAGACATTATCAAGTGCATCCTAGCACAGCATTACCAAGTGCATCCTAGCACAGTATTATTCAAGTGCATCCTAGCACAGTATTATTAAGTGCATCCTAGAACAGCATTACCAAGTGCATCCTAGCACAGCATTACCAAGTGCATCCTAGCACAGTATTATTAAGTGCATCCTAGCACAGTATTATTAAGTGCATCCTAGAACAGCATTACCAAGTGCATCCTAGCACAGCATTACCAAGTGCATCCTAGCACAGCATTACCAAGTGCATCCTAGCACAACATTACCAAGTGCATCCTAGCACAGTATTATTAAATGCATCCTAGAACAGCATTACCAAGTGCATCCTAGCACAGCATTACCAAGCGCATCCTAGCACAACATTATCAAGTGCATCCTAGCACAGCATTACCAAGTGCATCCTAGCACAGTATTATTAAGTGCATCCTAGCACAGTATTATTAAGTGCATCCTAGAACAGCATTACCAAGTGCATCTTAGCACAGCATTACCAAGTGCATCCTAGCACAGTATTATTAAGTGCATCCTAGCACAGTATTATTAAGTGCATCCTAGAACAGCATTATCAAGTGCATCCTAGCACAGCATTACCAAGTGCATCCTTGCACAGCATTATCAAGTGCATCCTAGCACAGCATTACCAAGTGCATCCTAGCACAGTATTATTAAGTGCATCCTAGCACAGTTTTATTAAGTGCATCCTAGAACAGCATTACTAAGTGCATCCTAGCACAGCATTACCAAGTGCATCCTAGCACAATATTATTAAGTGCATCCTAGAACAGCATTACTAAGTGCATCCTAGCACAGCATTACCAAGTGCATCCTAGCACAATATTATTAAGTGCATCCTAGCACAGCATTACCAAGTGTATCCTAGCACAGCATTATCAAGTGCATCCTAGCACAGCATTACTAAGTGCATCCTAGCACAGTATTATTAAGTGCATCCTAGCACAGCATTACTAAGTGCATCTTAGCACAGCATTATCAAGTGCATCCTAGCACAGCATTACCAAGTGCATCCTAGCACAGCATTACCAAGTGCATCCTAGCACAACATTACTAAGTGCATCTTAGCACAGCATTATCAAGTGCAACCTAGCACAGCATTATCAAGTGCATCTAGCACAGATTATAAGTCACCTAGCACAGCATTACAAGTGCATCCTAGCACAATTATAAGTACATCCTAGCACAGCATTACCAAGTGCATCCTAGCACATATTATAAGTACATCTAGCACAGCATACAAGTGTATCCTAGCACAGCATTATCAAGTGCAACCTAGCACAGCATTACTAAGTGCATCCTAGCACAGTATTATTAAGTGCATCCTAGCACAACATTACTAAGTGCATCCTAGCACAGCATTACCAAGTGCATCCTAGCACAGCATTACTAAGTGCATCCTAGCACAGTATTATTAAGTGCATCCTAGCACAACATTACTAAGTACATCCTAGCACAGCATTACCAAGTGTATCCTAGCACAGCATTACCAAGTGCATCCTAGCACAGCATTACTAAGTGCATCCTAGCACAGTATTATTAAGTGCATCCTAGCACAACATTACTAAGTACATCCTAGCACAGCATTACCAAGTGTATCCTAGCACAGCATTACCAAGTGCATCCTAGCACAGCATTACTAAGTGCATCCTAGCACAGTATTATTAAGTGCATCCTAGCACAACATTACTAAGTGCATCCTAGCACAGCATTACCAAGTGCATCCTAGCACAGCATTATCAGATGCATCTCAGCAGACAAACTTAATGCTGTAATATTGATTTAACAGATATTATTACTTTCATCAGTTAAATGTTCGTCTTAGAAGTACAATGTTGTACAGACGTGTTGAGCTCTGATATACACGTAGCATAAAACAGAAATACAACCATGCAATATTTATAATTTATTGTTTTAGTTTAAACTACATTAAAAAATGTATATTAGATTAATTTCAAAAAGTTATATTTCTTATGGAGTTTTAATAATATTACTATAAGTAATTCGTAGTGTTATTTTAGAGACGTAAAGTCATGCAAGGATAACTAAAGAAAGAAATCTTAAGCTTTGGTTTACAATAGCAACAGTAAAAGATTCCTTCATCTATGTTAGAACCATAATGGTGGTATTAGTATTTTGTGTGGAAATATATCCTGAGGTGAATCTTGGTCAGTTGATGACCTGCTCAGGTCCCTAACATGGTCCAGTGGCCTCTAACATAGTTCAATGGCACCCAGCATGGTCAAATGGCACTTAGCATGCTCCAGTGGCACTTAGCATGCTCCAGTGGCACTTAGCATGGTCCAGTGGCCCCCAGCATGGTCCAGTAACCCACTACAAGGTCTAGGGGCCTAACATGAGGCAGTGGTTCCTATCAAGGTCCAGTGGACCGTAACATAATTCAGTGGCCCTCTAATATGGTCCAAAATAAATTGTTTTTTTTTTAAATCCCAACTGAGGAACTAGAAAGTAACATTTTTGATCCAAGGAATTGCAGCTACACTCCCTTCCCTTGGATCAAAGTTAATTACTTCACTCCCCAGATGATGGATGACCCCTACTGTGTTAGCGCTTCCCTTAATAATAATAATAATAATAATAATAAATGTTATTTCTTGATGGTTGATGTATAAAGTTGGTTGGTTGGTTAATTAGGTTTCAATTCTATCTACTACAAGCGGGTCATTAAGGCTGCTTGACACCTGTTCACTACCAGTCTAGAATAGTATTAATGACTAAAATAGTGATCAAAAATTCGTATATACACTGATATAGTCCTCTCTCAGTATATATATATATATATATATATATATATATATATATATATATATATATATATATATATATATATATATATATAGTATGTATATATATATATATATATATATATATATATATATATATATATATATATATATATATATATATATATATATATATATATATATATATATGTCGTGCCGAATATGTAAAACTGGTGAATTAGCAAGAACTCATTTAAAATTAAATCCTTTCTAAAATTTTCTCTTATACGTTTAAAGATGTATTTTTTTCATTAATGTTAATGTAAAAATTTTTAATTTTGCACCAAAAGAATCTTAGAAAACTTACCTAACCTTATTATAACAAGAACAATTTATTTTAGCCTAACCCAACTAAATATATTTCAGATTTGTTTACAGTAATTTAATACTAAATAAACACAGTGAAATATATTTTTTTCGTTAGGTTCAGAATGATTTTGGCGAAATTATTGCATTCACAAATTTTCACTTGTCCTATATGGCAAGATGAGCGTTGCTATTTAAGCCAAGATTGCAAGTTCTGCCTATTCGGCACGACATATATATATATATATATATATATATATATATATATATATATATATATATATATATATATATAATATATATATATAATATATATATATATATATATATATATATTATATATATAGTGAGAGATATACACCTCTCGGTGTATATACATTGATATACACTTCTGTGTATATACACTGATATATATACAGATACACACTTGTGTATATACAAAGATATACACCGAGAAATACACACTTCACTCGTCAGTTTATATACACCTTTCGGTCTATATAAACTTGTATATATATACCCTGACATTTTACAGATAAATATCCTGAATGTAATTAATGTTATTCCAGAAAAATTACTCAAAAATGATAGTAATAATAATAATGTTTATCAAGACTCACAGCTGGAGATTTTTGACTGAGAACTCCCGCCAAAAATGTATTAATTTCATATATTAAATATATTGTGATAGTCAAGTTCAGTACAATAAATTTATATAAAAATAAAAATCTTTTACTTCACCTTATTTTTGTATTGCAGTTTTATATTTTTGTTTTTTTATTTTAGGTTTTCTGGTGTTTTTAATTTAGTTTACCTTCTAAAGTCTTTTAGTATAGCCCTTTTATTTTTTTATTTTAGTTTACCTCTTATATTTTTAATTTAGTTTACCTTCTACATTTTTAGCGTAGTCTACCTCTATTTTTTTTTATTTTAGTTTACCTCTATTTTTTTTACCTCTATTTTTTTATTTTAGTTTACCTCTTATATTTTTAATTTAGTTTACCTTCTACAATTTTAGTGTAGTCTACCTCTATTTTTTTATTTTAGTTTACCTCTATTTTTTTTACCTCTATTTTTTTATTTTAGTTTACCTCTTATAATTTTAATTTAGTTTACCTTCTACAATTTTAGCGTAGTCTACCTCTAATTTTTTGTTTTAGTTTACCTCTATTTTTTTTACCTCTATTTTTTTATTTTAGTTTACCTCTTTCATTTTTAATTTAGTTTACCTTCTACAATTTTAGTATAGTCTACCTCTAATTTTTTATTTTAGTTTACCTTTCATTTTTAATTTAGGTTACTATCTATAATTTTTTATTATAGTCTGCCTCTTAGATTTTTATTTTAGTTTACCTATTATTTTCTTAATTTAGCTGACCTACACCTTTCAATAAAATATACCCATTATACTTGGTAAACCCGCACTAGGAATGTACAACAAACTTATTCATGGAGTGGTAATTAATGGTGTCATGAGTGACATGTCAGTGATACAGTCAACTGTCATGCGTCTGCTTCCCGACCTTATTATCTTAGTCACAGTTATAGCTGAAGGACATCTGTGCCGTCTGAACCATATGGGTTTAGTGTTTGTTTTATAACAATAATAATAATGAAAAGCTTGGATGATATAAAATATAATTACCTTCTATGTAATAGAAAATTGTGTTCATTAACGAATGTAGTTTATGTCTTTCTTGCTCTCAAATTGGAGACGCAGTATTGCAACAGATCTTGAACATTTGGTTGATGGTGATTACTTCTTCATTTTCTCTAGTTGATGCAGGAGACGCATACGACGTCTCTCACGGACTTCCTGAATGCCAACTTTGTCGACACCAGAGAAAAAGTCGAGGAGAGAGCGTCTCTTCTTCTCCACACATTCCCCAGGCTCTGTAACACCAAGACGGTCGTGTTTCTATCACAATATGGTACTGAGACGCTGATGTGCATTACTGTACAGTGTAAATGTATTTTAATGAAATTCATTAACCTGTTTACCCATCTCTAAAAGCTACCGGTTCTAATATGCACATCAATTTCGTTAAATATGACCACTCGTTCATTTTTCTTCGTTATTGTTACTTGATTCATAAATACTGAATTACTAATTCACGGTATTGTCCTCTTTTATTGTCCCCAAAGATTATTACAAAGTTCCAGCAAACTCATACTGCCCATCACTGAGTTTTGAACCTTCATTGCCTCTGAGGGGCCCCACACACCTCTGCCGCCTTTGAAGGCCCCCACACACGTCTGCCGCCTTTGAGGGCCCCCACACACCTCTGCCGCCTTAGAGGACCCCCTCCCCCCCCACATCTCTGCCGCCATTGAGGGCTCCACAATCACATTGTGTCCACCGGGTGCTCATACAAAAGAGAAGGTGCTGAGCAAAGTTACTACTCACGTGTGAGGTAGTAGAGGAAACAGTCAGCATCATCAGTATCAAGAGGACAGGACTCCTGGTGACACTCAAGAGAAGTGCCACAGTCACCGTAGATGTTCCAAGGTCCTCCACATTCTTCGCCCAGGACCTGCAACAACCACACGCTAAATATACTTAGTTATACAATCTTGTAAACTGTCATGCAGATCAGGCTAGCTGTATATAAGGAATAAAAAGTGACGATACTGAGGTAGGAACGAGCCACCAAAAACCCGCACTTAGGAGAGGGCATTTATGACGGTGTTTCTCCCAGTCCCCAACCATTGTGCTCTATCCATTTTTAACTAATAAAAAATAGTTAATGATTATAATTATATGAAATATAAACTGGCGCAGTTCATTCATTACAGAATAGTGGAGACTCGAGCCTCAGTGCACAAACATGTGTGATGACCTCTACTGGCAGATGAGGAATTCTTAATTAATATTAAGGTGTCAGTATACAACAACATGAGGAATGAGTAGATCTTAAATATCAATATAAAAATATGAAGAGAAAAAAATACATTAGCTAGAAGGTTTTAAAATAAATTCTTTCTGTATAAAAAATTCTTCAATGCTTTTAAAACCATACCAAAGTATTGCATATAGTTATGACATTTTTCACATGGCTTCCCTGTCTACTTTACCACATGCCTTTTCTAATCCATAAATGCGATAGACAGTTCCTCACCTTTTTCTAGGTACTTTTCACTTATTTGCTCAAATGTAAAATCTTGGTCTACACATCCACTAACCTTCCTAAAACCCTCCTTGTTCCTCTGTAATCCTACTCACTGGTTTTCCCTTAACTTTTTTAATAATAATTATCATACACTTTACCTGGCATATATCCCTGTGGTTAGTGCACTGCTTTATCCCCTTTCCTCTTATATATAGAAACTATAATGTTGTTCTCTGCCTAATGAAAAAATGAAAAGAATCAGTCGCCTTTTCATCATCGGCACAGGATAATTCATCCAAATGTTTCCACCGTCTTTCCAGTATCTCCACATTCCTATTTAACATCTCACCACTTTCGTTCTTAACTGTTAAAGTCATCTGTTACCCGTGGTTCCTCACCTCCTTCATCTAGCTCCGAGACTGTTTCTTATTCTCAACAATATTAAATGACAAGATTCACTCGTTTTCTCTTATTCTGCACTGTCACAAAATCCTAGAGACAGCCGTGATTGTATTACAAACTAACTTCAGCAGATCACACGACCAGTGGAAACCTGATGCTATAATCACCTTCACCTTAGAGGTAATCATTCCTTTATTTATTTATTTATTTATTTTGTGTCTTTGCAAACAGTACATTGAGAATTTGTATTTACAATAGTGGGTTGCAATGCAAAGAGAGCCTCTATTATGCCTGGGCATTATGGGCCAGCAGAGCATAGATGACGTAAAGAATGTTCAACATTGAGGCATGCAAGACTGATGGTGGTGAGGGGGAGGGACACAAGACACTCTGAGCTCAATCACAGTGTTTTCGACTTACTACCGAAGAATCTGCGTTTAATCTTGAGAGGGGACCGGACGTGTAGACAAATCCAGTAATATCTAATGTCACAATGATTGGCTTTTTGGGGGGGGAGGGTTCTTTTGGGTTAGTAACTCACAGAGTTAATACTCAGAATCAAGACTTTACCGTTCCTCACTGTTTGTCACCAGGCATTTTAACAACCTTGCTTCAAAAAGGAAAAAAATAGTTACAATTCACCAAAGAAACATACTCAGAGGAACCTTGTGACGCTACTTCAGTCCCTCCTGGACTAATTATCAAGTCACAACTTACAAGAGACGACTCCTTTTCTACATTCATTTGTATGTTTGTGTGAAACTGAACAATAGTTAATACTGACCCCGGCACACACAGTGCAGCAGCCACACATATCTTTAGTAACCCCGTTGCTGCAGTCTGCTGGATCCAGCTGGGAACACTTAGCGTGTTCACAAGAACAGTCCACCGCCTCGCTCCTGTCACATACACACGGTGTTACATGTTGGTTAACCAAGTGAAACTTAGTAAAACAATGGACATGTATAAGCCACATATTCAAAAAAAATTAAAGAATTGGCAATTCCTTTTTCTTTTTCTTTTACCCCGAAATCAGTGTCAATGTGAAGGAAACTAAGCAGACGAGCCTCAGGTCCATGATGCTCAGTGGAAGGTGACCTCAGCACTGAGTTCAGTCCTCTTCCTACACCACCCATGTCCTCTCCAACACTACCACCACCCATCCCCTCTATATCACCACCAGTACTACCATCACCACCATCCACCACTACCACCAACCATGTCCTCTCTTTATTATACCTCTTCTTAAAGCTACGGATGGATCCTGCCTCCACTAGATCACTTCCCAGACTATTCCACTTCCTGACAACTCTGTGACTGAAGAAATACTTCCTAACATCCCTGTGATTCATCTGAGTCTTCAACTTCCAACTGTGACCCCTTGTTTCTGTGTCCCATCTCTGGAACATCCTGTCTGTGGCCACCGTGTCGATTCCTCTCAGTATTTTGTATGTCGTTATCATGTCCCCCCTATCTCTCCTGTCTTCCATAGTCATCAGGTCGATTTCCCTTAACCTCTCCTCGTAGGACACACCCCTTAGCTCTGGGACTAGTCTTGTTGCAAACCTTTGCACTTTCTCTAATTTCCTTACATGCTTGGCTAGGTGTGGGTTCCAAACTGGTGCCGCATACTCCAATATGGGCCTAACGAACACAATGTACAGGGTCCTGAACGATTCCTTATTAACATGTCGAAACGCTGCTCGTAGATTTGCTAGGCGCCCATATGCTGCAGCAGTTATTTGCTTGATGTGCGCCTCAGGAGATGTGCTCGGTATTATACTCACCCCAAGACCCTTTTCCTTTCCTTTCCTGTATGTGTGTGTGTGTGTACTCACCTAATTGTGGTTGCAGGCGTCGAGACTCAGCTCCTGGCCCCGCCTCTTCACCGACCGCTACTAGGTCCTCTCTCCCCTTGTGTGTGTGTGTGTGTGTGTGTGTGTGTGTGTGTGTGTGTACTTACCTATTTGTGGTTGCAGGGGTCGAGTCCTAGCTCCTGGCCCCGCCTCTTCACCGGTTGCTACTAGGCCCTCTCTCTCTCCCCGCTCCATGAGCTTTATCAAACCTCGTCTTAAAACTGTGTATGGTTCCTGCCTCCACTACGTCATTTTCTAGGCTATTCCACTGCCTTACAACTCTATGACTGAAGAAATACTTCCTACTATCTCTCTGACTCATTTGTGTCTTTAACTTCCAATTGTGGCCTCTTGTTTCTGTGTCCCCTCCCTGGAACATTCTGTCTTTGTCCACCTTGTCTATTCCACGCAGTATTTTATATGTCGTTATCATGTCTCCCCTGACCCTCCTGTCCTCCAGTGTCGTCAGGCCGATTTCCCTTAATCTTTCTTCATAGGACATTCCCCTTAGCTCTGGAACTAACCTTGTCGCAAACCTTTGTACTTTCTCTAGTTTCTTGACATGCTTTATCAAGTGCGGGTTCCAAACAGGTGCTGCATACTCCAGTATGGGCCTGACATACACGGTGTACAGTGTCTTGAATGATTCCTTACTAAGGTATCGGAATGCTGTTCTCAGGTTTGCCAGGCGCCCATATGCTGCAGCAGTTTATCTGATTGATGTGTGCTTCCGGAGACATGCTCGGTGTTATACTCACCCCAAGATCTTTCTCCTTGAGTGAGGTTTGCAGTCTTTGGCCACCTAGCCTATACTCTGTCTGTGGTCTTCTGTGCCCTTCCCCTATCTTCATGACTTTGCATTTGGCAGGATTAAATTCGAGAAGCCATTTGCTGGACCAGGTGTCCAGTCTGTCCAGGTCTCTTTGAAGTCCTGCCTGGGCCTCATCAGATTTAATTCTCCTCATTAACTTCACATCATCTGCAAACAGGGACACTTCTGAGTCTAACCCTTCCGTCATGTCGTTCACATATACCAAAAATAGCACTGGTCCTAGGACCGACCCCTGTGGGACCCCGCTCGTCACAGGTGCCCACTGTGATACATCATTACGTACCATGACTCGTTGTTGCCTCCCTGTCAGATATTCTCTGATCCATTGCAGTGCCCTTCCTGTTATATGCGCCTGATGCTCTAGCTTCTGCACTAATCTCTTGTGAGGAACTGTGTCAAAGGCCCTTTTTGCAGTCCAAGAAGATGCAATCAACCCACCCCTCTCTCTCATTGTCTTACTTCTGTTATTTTATCATAAAACTCCAGAAGGTTTGTGACACAGGATTTGCCTTCCGTGAATCCGTGCTGGTTGGCATTTATACTCCTGTTCCGTTCCAGGTGCTCCACCACTCTCCTCCTGATAATCTTCTCCATAATTTTGCATACTATACACGTCAATGACACAGGTCTATAGTTTAGTGCCTCTTTTCTGTCTCCTTTTTAAAAATGGGAACTACATTTGCCGTCTTCCATACCTCAGGTAGTTGCCCAGTTTCCAGGGATGTGTTGAAGACTGTGGTAAGTGGCACGCACAACATATCTGCTCCCTCTCTAAGGATCCACGGGGAGATGTTGTCCGGTCCCATTGCCTTTGAGGTATCGATGTCCCTTAGCAGTTTCTTCACCTCCTCCTCATCTGTATGTATGTCGTCCAACACTTGTTGGTGTATTCCTTGCTGGTGTCCCCATGTGGTCTGTCCCCCCAGAGTCCTTCCTGTCTCTACTGTAAATACTTCCTTAAATCTCGTGTTGAGCTCCTCACATACCTCTTGATCGTTTCTTGTGAGTTCTCCACCTTCTTTCCTCAGCCTTATCACCTGGTCCTTGACTGTTGTCTTCCTCCTAATGTGGCTATACAGCAGTTTCGGGTCAGATTTGACTTTCGATGCTATGTCGTTTTCATACTGTCGCTGGGCCTCCCTCCTTATCTGTGCATACTCGTTTCTGGCTCTTCTACTAATCTCCTTGTTTTCCTGGGTCCTATGCCTCCTGTACCTTTTCCATTCTCTGTTGCACTTAGTTTTTGCCTCCCTACACCTTCGGGTAAACCAAGGACTCGTTTTGGTCTTCCTATTATTTCTGTTTCCCTTGGGAACAAAACTTTCCTCTGCCTCCTTGCACTTTGTTGCCACATATTCCATCATCTCGTTTACTGATTTTCCTACCATTTCTCTGTCCCACTGAACCTCCTGCAGGAAGTTTCTCATACCTGTGTAGTCCCCCCTTTTATAGTTTGGCCTGTCCCCTTCAGTTCCTGTTACCTTCTCCACTTGTAACTCTACTATATAGTCAAAACTCAGAACCACATGATCGCTAGCTCCAAGGGGCCTCTCGTAAGTGATGTCCTCAATGTCTGAACTGCTCAGGGTGAACACAAGATCCAGTCTTGCTGGCTCATCCTCCCCTCTCTCTCTGGTTGTGTCCCTGACATGTTGATGCATGAGGTTTTCAAGTACCACATCCATCATCTTGGCTCTCCATGTTTCGGGACCCCCATGTGGCTCCAGGTTTTCCCAGTGTGTGTGTGTGTGTGTGTGTGTGTGTGTGAGTGTGTACTCACCTAATTGTGGTTGCAGGTGTCGAGACTCAGCTCCTGCCCGTTGTGTGTGTGTGTGTGTGTGTTGTGTGTGTGTGTGTTATGTGTACTCACTTATTTGTGGTTGCAGGGGTCGAGTCTTAGCTCCTGGCCCCGCCTCTTCACCGGTTGCTACTGGGCCCTCTCTCTCCCCGCTCCATGAGCTTTATCAAACCTCGTCTTAAAACTGTGTATGGTTCCTGCCTCCACTACGTCATTTTCTAGGCTATTCCACTGCCTTACAACTCTATGACTGAAGAAATACTTCCTAATATCTCTCTGACTCATTTGTGTCTTCAACTTCCAATTGTGGCCTCTTGTTTCTGTGTCCCCTCCCTGGAACATCCTGTCTTTGTCCACCTTGTCTATTCCACGCAGTATTTTATATGTCGTTATCATGTCTCCCTGACCCTCCTGTCCTCCAGTGTCGTCAGGCCGATTTCCCTTAATCTTTCTTCATAGGACATTCCCCTTAGCTCTGGAACTAACCTTGTGGCAAACCTTTGTACTTTCTCTAGTTTCTTGACGTGCTTTATCAAGTTGCGGGTTCCAAACAGGTGCTGCATACTCCAATATGGGCCTGACATACACGGTGTACAGTGTCTTGAACGATTCCTTACTAAGGTATTGGAATGCTGTTCTCAGGTTTGCCAGGCGCCCATATGCTGCAGCAGTTATCTGTTGATGTGTGCTTCCGGAGACATGCTCGGGGTTATACTCACCCAAAATCTTTTTCCTTGAGTGA